CACTTTCCAAAGACATATTATGTTGGATCACAGAATGTTCATGAATGTTCTGTAACGACTCCCACACGAACTAAACACTCGGATTCCATGCATGGACATAACTATGTCCTTGGTGGGTGTTGTTCCGCATAGATCTATATATGGGTGACTTGACGTCTTGATTGGGCTTTCTTGTTGGCCCTATATATTGGTGAACTGAGCCTCACCACCTGACATGACCTCCAAAAGAATCAAAAGAGTCAGAAAAGGAATCAATCAAATTGAACTGCCAAGATTTGAAGATCGCACATTGAACAGCCAAAATGAACAGGTTGTCTTCTTTCCGAAGCTCTTCCCTTTCCCTTTGACTCGTTCTTTCCAACAAAATGCTGCTTGTGGTTCAAACCAGTCCTTATGGCTTGTTTTCAAGGTTTATCACTGACCTCCAACTCGCCCACATGACATCCTTTGACCAAGAAGCAGTACCCAAAAGCCGTTGGCCTCAAAACCCGCAGGCTAGCAATTTGGTGGGTCAGAGGTGTCGGGCACTGGCGATAAAAACGCAACAAATACTCTCGGACTCCTAACATGCAAATGGAAAATGCTCTGCCAGGGGCCGGGCAGAGCATGTTCCACTTCCATGTTAGTGAGTCAGTGTGTATCTGGTATGAACAGCTTGTGTCTCATAGTTGCCCCGTGACCGAGGACTGGTACGTTGCTTCCAGAAAATAGATGACCTACGGGAGCCTTCGACAAGGTTGGAAGAAAACATGACATTTGCGGAGTGTTCGGATGGGGGACCTCAGATCGTTGATCTTAAATATTCCCCTCCTTCAGTTACCCAACACGACATGGGACCGCCATATATGCCAATACTCCATGACCCCCGGTCACCCCTGGCTTGATCGGCAGTCCGGCAGTCCCATGGGTCACCTGATCTGATCGGTGCACCTGATCCGGAGCTTTGAAGCATTGTACAACAACTACCACATAGAATTGCCTTCCCCAAAAAAAACACCAGAACAATCGGATTCCGATCGCTTTCCTTAGGTGTCCAACACATATACATGTTCCAAGAGGATTCAATATTGATTCACCCTTCCAAAGCTCTTGGGGTCACTACAACCCACATTCAGGTCACATCGACTCAATCTGCCGGACCGTCACTCTGCCGGCCGAGTGGCCAGTGAGCTTGCAACGCTCAAGAGTGCGATGATGGGGAAGCCTAAGAAGGCAAAAACGGGAGATCGTGAAGCGCACATCTAGACTACCTATAGATCATGTTTGCTTTAAGTGTTTCATTGTGAGTCAGAACTTCACAAGTCCCACGCTAGAAAAACTAGACACAAATGGGCACAATTCAGCACACACATTAAGCAAACACAGGTCTCAAGGTTAGAACTTGGACTATATATATTTTATAAGGACATGAGACTACACAGTTAAACCTGTAGAGGCCCAGGGATGCCCAGGGATAGAAAAGTGATAAACAAACACATTCCTTTACACACCTATTGCGAAACGCAGGAACGACACGACAGCTATGTACTACGAGTAGTGTAGTGAGGTTGTTGCAGGGGTTGGTGGCCGGGCCTTGCATTCGTATCATGCAGCATCCTTCCTTACCATCCTTACCATGGTCCCTCCAACATCCCTCCAACGCGAGCTTGCTAAAAAACGGCCATCCAGCATAAGGGTCTATCTTCGTTCCAAGCGGGTTACATGCCTGAAGGTACAACCCTCAATCCAATCTCAATCCACGCAACCACCCCCATGAATCTTCCTCCCACATCCAATTCATTATAGAATTCCATAGAATTCCCATATCCATCACCCAAGTGATAACCCTCCGACCTCACCTCACCTCCCTCCTCCTCCCCGAACCCTCCGTCCTCTCCAAACCGCGACCAACGCTCCGCGACCAACGCAGCGAGCGGCTCAGGAGCACGGCGCTCCTGCGGCCAAGGCGATCGCCCACCCAGCCGCTCATCAGGTTTCCCATGAGCACGCCCACGTAGACGGAAGACCTCGGACGTCGGTTGTTGCGGCGGTCGTGGAAGATCTCCTCGACCCACGTCGTGCTCAGACCAGTGAGTGTCACGTGGTGGGACAGAAGACCTTGGGGGGTTGGTGGCTCGGAAGGGCGTCGTGAGGGTCGCATTGGTCGTGCTTCTCATCGAAGTGTGTCAAACAATGGGCCTTAGAAACCAACACATGAACTTGGGTCACCGAAAAAAACATGTGTAGTCGTGGCCTCTCAGGGTGAGGTGACCCATCAGAAATTTTGGGGCTTGCAATGAGACATCACGCACCTTCGAACATCTTCCAAGCTGCCATCAAGGTCTTGGTGTCCACCTAAAACTGTGAAGTCAGCAAGGTTTATGCCGCCCCATTGACCTGTCTGGCACCACCCCAACTGATCGGCAGTCCTATGGCAGTCCCATGGGTCGCGTCAAGGGGAGTCAGTCATGGTGGTTCTCTCTGACAATGATCCAGCATGGTCCAAACCGTTCAGCGTTTGAAGAACAAACACGACCAAACAGTCTACAGGGCGTAGTTGGCTGTAAGCCAACAGCCTACTAGTAAGCAGGGTAGCAGGTTGGATACGGAGGGGGCAAGCATCATGTGTGCTCGTTCGTGAAGCAAAAACCCATCGAGTTGATCCCTGCCCCACTTTCTAACATGCGGCACTCTCCTGAGGTAGTTTTTCAACAAAACTTGTTGAGGTCACACTTGATTGGGGGCACTGAAGATCAACAACTGTCAGTCAGCAGTGTTTCTTTGTACAAGTCACGACACTTCCCCTTCTTAAGGCACAAAAAACCGCTCAACGAATGTTGAACAAACACCCATGATTCCACGATGCGATTTGTCCATGTTTTTGAGTCACCGCTACCCAAATCCGTCCGAAGCAAAACAGAAACCAAGTAGCAGCAGAACGCCCTGCTGTAGAGGACTTAAATCCCAGTCCGTCGCTAAAATGGTGCTTATGGAACCTCGGGAGACGCTAATGCAACGAACAACCCGAGCGGGACGAATGCACTTGCCAGGTTCCTAATTAGAAGTTCAGTTCACTTCCATTTTGGAGACTTTTGAAGGAACATGAATGGACCCGGGACCTCTGTTCAAGCCATGGGTACGGTACAAACACAATGCAGTACCATCTTTTGAACTTGTGAGTGCTAAACAAATTACGTCATTGAACATCAAAAGATATTCACCCCAAAGCTCCAACTATGCACCCGGCCCTCAACGACATAAAGCTCCCTACCTGCAAAGCATATCGTGAATCTCATTCGCCTTCAAGCCAAGACCTATTAATACTTGGACCTATCCTATTACCAGGGCCCAGTGGATGATGATGGTTCAGTTGCAGGCCTTTCTCAGGTCATAGGGACAAACCCAATACCCAAACACTCCATGGGACTGCCATATATGCCGATCAGTTGGGGGTGGTTGACTGGGGGTCTTTCTGGGGCGGCAGTCCTATGGCAGTCCCATGGGTCGTGTCTGGGATATAAATACAGTATCAGTGTCAGTGTTGGAACCAAAAATGACGCCTAGACATCTGAGCCTGGGGACGAGCAACCACCGACATGACATGACATGACGAGAGTTCGTTCGTCATCCCAAAACGACCAAAACACCACGCAAAAAATCAAACACCACGGGTGTTAGAATGTATTTAGCAAAGCTATTACCTCTCAAAACCCATCGCCGGTGGTGCTTCGCCGAAAGTGTCCTCACCACACAAGGTCGGTGTATCGAAAGTGTCCTCACTCGAGTCGTTGTGGGTCAGGGAAATGCGGATCTTCAGCCAGGTCGCTAAGCACCAACAATTCGCAGCCATCAGCGAGCCAGGATCCATTCACCAACAAGCCTGCTCGTTCGCCCGAATGGTCCCGACTGGTCCGCAACGTGAAGAATTCGATTCGGTTCCAAGGAACTCAACGACTGGGTTCTGTGATGGTCGTTAACATGTTGTTGTCAGCAACAACGGCCTGCTTTTCTGTGCTTTTTCATGCTGCCAAAGGGCAAGTCAAGATCTGGCTGGGTCCATATCCAAGACTCTCAATGACCTTAGTTTGCAGGATTCAGGGTCCAAGCAAAACCCAATCATTCACCATTCGAACCATTCCCATGAATTCCCCGCCAAGTAAGAAACACATGTCCAATTTCTGCGGGGGGGAAAGAAAAACCTCTGCTGGGCAATTCCAGGCTGACCTCAGTAATGCTACGTTTCGGTTCTTCAGATTCTTCAGGCATCAGCCAACATGAATCGGCACCACGACATGAATGGAAGGACACGCAGCGAAACGGAACGCTTCGGGCCACTTTGGCTGCGGCGGAAAACCCATGCCAAGACGTTGGATCCATTCCAAGAACTTGTTGAACATGCCAGATTTGACTGGTGTGTTGTAAACTGTAGATCTTGTTTTCATCATGACTTAGAACATTGTATACAATAAAAATATAAAACCATGAACAACCATGAAGCGTTCGATTCAGACTTGTGTCACCATCACATAGATTCCCTACAAATTTACAAATCTCCTACTCCTACCAAATGGATCCAAATGGGGATTCATCACCATTGTCGCACAGATTGCCTACTACATCTCCAACCAGCTGGGGGGATTTTTCTGTGTTCGATGGGCAAATCGGAAGAGACTCTGTGTCAAAACATGTGAAAACCAAAAGGACAGTCATCCAAAAACCGACAGATTCTCTGTAACCAGCCAAAAAGATCCTGAGGTATGGAATACAACGGGCTTTACAAAAGCAAATGACGGTACATGACACTCTTAAAGGTCGACGGCTTGACAACTTAAGTAACTTGCCATGCTGCTGTTGTTGTCGCCAAAAACCAACAGCACCTCTCTCAGTTCATACTAATGTTGACCTTGGCCGCTTCTACAAATGACACATGCTCTTTCTTGCACCCAGTAACATCGCTTTGCTCTCAAAAAACAGCGTGCGATGCAAAGGATGTGCTGGTCTTCAAATCGCTCACGGCGGGCCTGGAAACTGGTTGAGGTGCCAAAAGAACTGCAAGGACGAGGGCCTCAGAAGAACTCAGCAGCACTGACCAACCCATGGCCGGCGAGCCCACTGGTTGCTGGCAGATTTCAAGCCTCGCCCACTCACTTTGTGGTTAGTTGTGAATGAATTGCAGTGACTGCTGGCTGCACACATCAGTCCACCAATTACCAGATGATGGATTTGCTTGTTGATGGTTGACTGTTTGTACATGCACGTTCCTAAGAGCAAGCGTTTCTTTCGGTCCACGAAATCCTTGACAGGCTCTTGGCTAGATGACAGACTTCAAAACTGCCAAGGAGGAAAGTATATGTCTTACTCGCTGGAATCATGAGCCTTATCTTGGGTCTTGGCGGTCTTGGGTGAGGGTTTGGTTCGGGTCCAAACCCTGCTTCCAGGCAGGTTCCATGATTCAAACTATAGGAAGATTCAATGCTTAAACCGTCTCAAAGGGTCACTCATGGCAACTACTGGCACTGTCGGCTTCCATTCCCCCCTGATGTCACTCCCCCCGTGTCACGTCACACACACACACACACGCCTGACGCACCGGCATCGCCCTCGCCCTCGCCGTCGCGTCGCTTCTGCCCAGGCACCAGGCCCAGCGCTGCAAAGCTGATCATGGGCCGCGCGACGGTGGCGCCCAGCCTCGTGGCCTGGCGCGTTCGGCGAACTTTCGGCCGTCAGGACCGACTCAGGGCCGACCGAAAGGCGGTGTTTGTGTCTCCAAGATGGGTTTTGGGGTCGAATGTTTGTCAGATGTACAAAACACACAAAAGAAAACAACAATACAGTGCCCTGCTATATAGGTGCTGTGTTTGGAGCGTTCATTGAAAGCGTGCTAGTGGTCATGAAGTGGCACTAAGTTGGGGACAATTTCGATATAAATTGCAGCTCTAGGCTATAGGCGTATGTTTTTCTGTGGAACACACTCATACTCCACACAAAACCTGTTCTTTAGTTCCCTTCTGTTCCCGAAGAGTTCACTCGTTTCATGACGCTCGAGATCCGTTCGAGTTCCGTTCGAGTTCCTCAGTCAACCACTTTTACGCACCACTCCGGGCACCGGTTCTTCGCCTCCAGTCGATACAAATCACATGTCTACCATCCCTCCAGTCGGTCCGAAATGCACGTGGCTTGGATGCACCGAACCTCCGCTCCGCTCGTCCCGCGAACTGCGTCCCGCTGGACCGCATCGCACATGGCAGCATCGACCGCGTTGGAACCAACGAGATCCAGTTCAACGTTCTGCGTTGGACCGCAGCGGACCGTGGGTTCTAAAGCGGTTCCGAAGGTCCTGTGGCTAAGTTGTGTACGATTTGGGCGACCCATTGTTTCATTCCGGTGATATTCGTCCGTTCCTTTTCCGAGGGCATGATCCAGTTTAAGTATAATGTTGTGTCACGTCTCATTCTATGAAGGCCTGTCCATGTTGGTTGGCGGTTTCTGGCCAAAAGCTGACTCATGTCAAAGGGTAGGACATGTGATACTGGGTGTCTTCCATGTCATGCAGGGGCATGCTGTTCAACTCTCTCATCTGGGTGTCCCAATGCCGCCCTGAATTGCGCAGCAAGCTGAGCATCAAGAACACGCGCGCGATTGTGGAAAACAATCCAGATGTGTTTCTCAGGTGATTCGGTTCCACATGGTTTCATCGTTTTTGCACAAGGTGTCCAACCTTGCCAGCATGATGATGATTGTGTTTCTTGTCTTTTTAGTGGCTTGGTGTGGCTCAGGATGTGCAACCGAGAAACATCAGCAACATGTCCTGGATTTGGCACACAAAAACCTGAGAAGGTAGTGACACAAGCCAGCCAGCCCCGACACCTACATCCGTCTCGTCATCCAACCCCCTCTCCCAATCTCTCCCGCATGTCTTTTCTCTTTGAATTATTTGTTTGCCTTTCACCGTGTCTTGGCTGCATGTACTTCCCAATCTCTTACCTTCTACTACTATTTATATAAATAACATCTATATACTTCTCTTTCTAATCATATCTAACCTAACCACTTTTTAACTCTCTCAACGATACCAGGACCGATGCAAACGATCAACAATCAACAATCAACACCTCGGCCCGAGTCCCACCTAAACATCGCCCGGCTTTGATTCCCCCGTTAAACCCAAGTCCTTTGGGTTGATGCGTTCCCAGTCCTTTTGGGCCACTGTCTAAAACCTTTACTTCAATGGTGATTGGTTGATCGTCGTGGCTTTCTGACCAAACATCCACGTGGCATGCGGCATGTAGAGACTCTTGATTAACACCCTCATGTGGATTGAAAAAGCCTCTTCATATGGAAGGATCCATGACTCAAGAGATCTATGTTATAAACTCTCTCTCTCTCTCTCTGACCGCTCTCTCCGTCCGACCGCGGCAACACCTCCGTTGCGACTGTGTGCGGTTTTTCTTGGCCGCAGGGAGGGGGGTCCCTATGGTTCAGACTCAGAGCGCGTGAAACGCTTCTGTCGTCTCCTGCGCGCAAAAGACCGAAAACGTGGACGGAGAGACGAGGTATGAATAGGGTTGGGAGACTGTAGACCTGATTCATAGCACTACCACCATGTCTCCGGGAGTGCTCTCAGCACCACGAAATGACTCAGCTGAAAGAGACTCTCTTGTTTTTTTTTCAGCACTCTTCTGCTTGGGAACACTTGTTCTAGAGCGGAGGGCACCGATTTACTTATAACTGGTTCTTTGGATTGCCGCCCATTCTGGTCGATCTCCAGCGTCCACGTAGAGGGAGACCATCTCGTGGATTTATTGGAAAAGAAAAACATGTCGATTTGTTCCAGGAGACAATATGGATACGATTGATAATGATAATGAGATAGATATCGATAGTATACAAATGTATATAGAGTTCTAGAGTATATACTTGCAGGCATGTACTTAGAACATATTATATAGAAGGTCGGCGTTGTTCTTACCCATACACTTAGAACATATTTACCCCGGGGTGTTTTTTTCTTTTTCTAATTGTGTTCTAAGTCTTTGTCTGACAGTATACAGGTCAACTCGCGTTTTTGAGTCACATCAAAGCGCCATCCGCACCATCCTCACAATCCTCCAAGTGGGACAGCTCTACGCTCCGCGAGCCGCTCCCACTCCGTCCCCCCCTCCGCTCCTCCCCCGCCTCCTCCAGGAGTGAGGGGACTCGTCCCAAGCACAAGCTTTCAGCATGTCCTTGCGGGTGACCGGCGACGACCTGAGGAAGTTGTGAGCTGCGAGCTGCGGGACTGGCGGTTTTGTGGGGCGTCCCGTGGGAATCCAAGAAGCGCAAAGCGCCCCAAAGTGCTGGATGTTTCAGTGTCTATCCTCTGTTCAAAAACATCAGAAGAAAGATGTCCGGAGTCCAAAGTGGGTGTGAATGCAATAACTTATTATACCTTCATCGTGCAAATGAACCGTGTTTTCACCAGCTCTTGCTTAGTGTTTTCAATGCTTTTCCACCTCTTAGAGAAATGGGTGTTGAAAGTCTATCTCCAACACGACTAATGCCTAATGGGACTGGCATATATTAAGTATATACGACCCCAGATGATCCGAAATGCGGGTCGGGTCTAGGCTACAACTACAGGGCCAAGAAGGTTAGGGCAGGCCTCTTTGGTGAAAAACAACTTAAAGAACCAGCTCCAAATCAACGGACATCTCCAGCCCTTGAGGACTTGGTCTCAAACATGGAAATGATTCTTCAGAAAAATCGCCTGTGAGTCCCTATTTCTTCGACAGTATAGACTGAATAAGTAACAGTGAGATCGGGAAAAAAAAATCCCCAGCATTCACTTGTCTTGTCCAGTATACCGAAAAATCAGAAAACAAGGGGGAACGCTTACGTGGATCCCATTTAGAATTGGTCGAAGCGGGGAGTGGCATGCCACCTAGGTGACCTACACTGTAACCTGTATACTAGCCCTGTTTAATAGTACACTGAATACGAAACTCGAAAAGCCACTTAAAAATCTATACCCAATCGGGGAATCACCTTTGACATTGACCCTCAAACAAAGTTTTAAGAATATATAAAGAACTAAACAAACACATCATTGATGCTACTTGGACAACTTGGACACCACTTCCTCAGGGCTGATAACCATCTGTTTCACCCGCCCACCACCGGTGTTTCTGCGGTTCCGCGCCCGGTGATGCACAGATCTTTCCGCTCGAAGAGGTCCGCAAAGGCCTAGCGGACCGGTGAGGCGCGCCGGGCACCAGGGGGACGAGCGGCACATGGGGATGGGAACATGGCCATGGTTACTAGTAGCGATGGCCTGGCCTCCACCTAGATCCACCTAGTAGCTTCTAGTATTGATTTCCCCTTCTATTGCTTGATGAATCCTTGTCCAGGGCAGGGAATGTTGTTCATCTGCAAAACTTCATCAATTGGTTCTTTGAATGTTCTTGATTTAACCAGCAACAGCTTTTGAGTCGTTCTAAATTAAAACAGCCGCTTGTGATTCATCAATTCATCATAATCATCATATCAACTTGCTCATATCTGTTGCTGCAAACATGATGACGCTTTTTGTTGCTCGTCGTCTCGTGCCCCCGTGATGCCACCATCCTCCAGTGCTTTTGAGGCCAGGAATGGAGGGACCGGGAGGTGGGCGCTGTACCACCGTGGGTGCTTTTCTGTCGTCCAGTCGCACCTCGAAGCTGATCTCCCCCTTGCTGTTCAGTGTCACTTTGGACTCTTTCCTTGGCAAAGGACACAACAAAAAAAACACGTCAGACCGTCCGTCCCTCGTCGAGTCGAGCACTCTCCGAGTCATTGTAACATGGACGAGAAATGCATGGTCTTCCAGGGGCAGCTTTTCCATTGCGATGATTATTTGAGGGAGTGTAGACAAAGATCTCGAACTGGTACGTTGAATCATATACGATTGCACGAGATCGCACGAGTCTGGCAAGGGCCCCTTGCTCATCGAGCTGCACACCAAAGGTGAGCGTCTGTGACGTGACGTGAGCCTTGCATGAAACGTCAGGAGACTGTGTTGTTTGCCCAGGACCCATGTTAGCTGTGGGCGATCATCTGTGGACCAAGGCCAGCCCTCTGTATCCTGCTGTACACCACCTACAATGGAGATGATATTATATCACACTGCTGTAGACTCTATAGACTCTAGACATTTCGTTTTAAGGTCTTTAAGTAATCCATCTGTACAAGATCAGAGCTGCTCACTTCAAGGACCCTGATACACTGGAAGGATTTCTAGAGCTGATGATTTGGCTTCGAGAGCTGGGAACAACCCATGCCTTTATCTTTTCCTCCGCAACAAGTCTTAGTGAACACAAAGAAACAATGAGTTTGCATGTGGTGCACAGCGAGAATACCAATTGCGCCAAAATCACAGCCGCATCACCCACAACCATACCAAGCCATACGGGCAAGCCAGGGCCAAGTTTTGATCAGAAACTCCACCAATCACATCCGGTTCGGGATCGGTTTTGAATCGGGCGAACTCCGCCCAGATCGACCCAGTTCTGCTCCTTCCGCCCAAGCGACAGAAACTCCTCCGCCGCGGTGGCGTCCTCCACGGTTTCTGCCACCACTCGCTGCACCTGCAAAACGACCACCGAGTCTGAACGTCGTCCCGTGCGACGTGCGACGTGGAAATAAGACACATCCATACACACTCGGGTGGGCCAACCAGGGCAAAGCACTTGCCTGGAACCTGATCCATCCTTCTCCCACCATCCACCGTTGTTCCGAAGCGCCTCAGAGACACTGATGGTGCCCGAAGCATCCCGGTCAATGCGGTTGAAGATCTTCCGAAGCGCCTCCCGCCTGCCGAGCCATGCCGAGCTCGGCGGGTGGTGTTCCGCGCTGAAAATAAAGGAGACCGCCGTGTGGTTGGGGGAAAAAGGGTCGTGCGCCTCTGAAATAATGTCAAACCCTGGCAAAATCGGATTTGCTCATGGAGCTTTCTGCGTGTCACAGTGCCATGGTGCGGATCGGTGATCGGTGGGACACCGTTGCCGGCGGTGGTGTCCTCCGGTGTCACACGGTGTTCGGTTTCGAAGCTTGCGGCGTGGGAGAAGCTTGACAGCACGGACGTCCGGTTTTCACTGCTGAATTCTGAATCGAAGACCGAACAGACCGAAGGCTGACTTGTGCGACGAAAGTAGGGAATGAGGGTGGCTGGATCCCAGAATCTCTATTGGGGGCGAAACTTCCCTCATTCCCTACGAGTCGCACTTTCGTCGCACCAGTCAGCCTTCGGCAGTCGAAAGCAACGCGATGTGATTGACATTGTTCACACTGCAGCGATCAACGCTTCCGATGCAGAGCCAAGGTCCTCCAAGACCGGATGCATCAAGGACCTCTCATCCCCCAAACAGCGCTTAAGGTTCAACATCACAAAATCACGAAAACCATGTTCTATCATGTTCCAACATGTTCCAACTTCCAAAGCCTCCCAAGCCGCTTTTGCTGTCTGTCCTAACTGACTATGGCTATGCCCCTATACATATGACTATGCCCCACTCATCTGTTCCCCTTCCACCCGACACCCCACGCGACCGCGACCTCCAGCGGCCGCGCATGTTCACCGTGGCAGCGAGGAAGTCCTGAGACGTGGCAGCAAGTCCAGACATGACATACGGCCGGCATGCCAAAGGCCAGGCCAGGACCCATATATGTCATATTTTATGGTATCCTTCCTCCTCCCTTCCAGGTGAATGGATTCGACTCAACATCATGCAACTCAATAACCATGAAATACCATAAGCTGCGTGGAGAGATCTACATCATTCAAAAGCCTTGAGTTTCTCGACATGGGTGTGGTGTTCTACCATCCAGCTTTTACGGTGCCGTTTGTTAAGTTTTAACCATCTACGACACAAACCAGATAAGACCCTCCCTGCCCAAGCTTTCGAATGTAGAGTCATGTTTCATACGTTTATCTCGTCTCATGCCTTTCCCTGGCCCCAAAAAGCCACAGATTCATCACACAGCTACCAGCGAACTGACCCAGTCACTAACAGCAATCGAACCGAACCCTCCATCAGTTGTCAGTGACCTATCAAACATGTTCCCTCAGCTACATTCTTCTGATCTGGGTAGAATATGGGCACTTCTGTTGAGTCGAACATCAATACCTTGCTCTTGTCGCCCTTGGCCCTGGCTGGAAGGCTGGGTCCTGTTCCTGTTGGTTTCCTCGCTCCGTCATGCCGTCGTATCCAGGTCTGTTCAACTGGCCGGCCCAGGCACGGAATAGTGGACTTCTTCGTCGCCGTTGGCATCCAACATGCTGAAGATCTGTTCAACCTGGCAAACCGTTTGGCGGCCCCTTCTGATCATGAAATGCAGGAAGTGGAATGGAATCCTTTCTGAAACATCCTTTCAGAACCGAAGCTTGAAGCGAAGCTCATCGTCTTAGGTTTGAAGTACTAGGGGGGAAGGTGAACATCCACGAACATCCAATTGTAGAACGAATTCATGTGTGGTATCTGTGGCACCAATGGTACCTACATACCTACTTAATTAGTAGGAGTCGGAGGGGTATTGACATGTATGAGTATGTTGTTCGGCGGCGGCGGAATTGAAGGGTTCTGTTGGGCGCACTCCAAAAACCTTCAAAGCCTTCCCTAGGGATCCAGTCGTACCTTCTCAAGTATTGGAGACACTGAGACATGTAGGTGCCAGGAGTGTCCAGTTGTACCAAGCCTAAGAAGCCCTAGGGCTTGCTCCTTCCATTGGCATGGATCGACATGCCAATCCAACTGGAAAAAATACGTTTATATATCGCTTAATGAACCCACGGCACGCACTCGCGTGACGCGTGAACTCGAAGTTCTCAATCGTTCATAAATATAAAACCTTCACACTTCGCACCAAACAAAAAGAGTTGTGTTTGTTGCTGAGTAGTGAACACATGACAAACAAACAAACAACACGAACTCCTCCGAAATGAGATTTCTGGTACAAACAATGCCGAACCCCCAAACATAGAGACCCGGAACTCTGACATGGAAAGAAGGAATCTGACAGCGGCTCAAACTCGTGGGGAAGGTTTCGCGAAACGCGCCTGTTCCTCCGGGATCTGGTTGGTGGGGCTCAGGTTGGGCGATGTCAGCCTTTCGGGACACGCGTGGTTGAGTCCGTCAGGCGATGGGCAAAACAAGGGGACACATTGGAAGATTGATATTGGTAACCATTCGTAACCATGACGTTCAGAAGTGTGAAAAGGATGAAAACTCAAGGTGAAAAGGATATTGTACATACAGTATATAATCATGTATATATACCTTGAAAACCCAACCTTGCCTTTATTTCTGTCATCGGATGATTTGGAAGCAAAAAAACGGACTCTTTCAAGCAAAAGTGTAATCGGGAGTGAAAAGTGCTATCGTGTCTTCCTGGCAAATTTCAGTGGACACAGATCCACTTCAAATTGACCCTTCACACCTGACACAAACTTGGGCAATATTTTTGTCCAGGTATTTCCGCCTTTTTGTTCCGCTGATTTCCGCCTTTTGGATGGGTATTTCCGCTCTTGTTTTTTGGTGTTTCTTTTGAGCCCGGTGGCTGGGAACCCTTTGGATCCGGTTTCTCATGTAACATGTCTGGAATGTTGTGAAATACCAAAAAGTGTATGTTGGGATCTGTGAAGTTGAGAAAGTGTCATTATTTGCAAAACATTGTTTTTTTCAAAAATGACTAAAGCAATGCACACTTATTATGATTTACTAGGTGTATATATATAATAGCTAATCCTCCCAAGTGTGGCGCTTTCTGACTATCCATGATGGTCTTCAGTCGCACAACATGTTGCATGGGGAAGTCCGAGTTTGCATTCATCCTGGCATGGCCAATCAACGAGGCTGGTTTCTATCCTGGCCACTTGGATGATCGTTCGACCCTTCGGCTTTTCTCATTTCGGTGAACACGGATCGTTCACGATCGTTCTACCCGTTCTACTCTTTTATTTGAACCTGTACCGTTCACGTCTACTGCGTCACAAACAAGGCAACAGTGAGCAAACGCAGCTGAAGTCTGAAATCTTGAAGAAAAAAACATCAACCGAGCATCGGGCAGCGATTTCATCCCAAAGGATCTCCAAAAACATCATCTGATTCACGTTCGCTGCAATCAGTGTGATTCCCAATGAGCTCACCTTTGTTCCCCAAACAGTCAGTGTGGACACACTAGTCACATCTAGTCAGTCACGACGTGGGGTTCTTACGGTTAAGACCATCCCAGCTAGCCAGGGACTGGAATTGATGATTTAGTTATTTAACACTGATTAAAAATGAACAAATATATAAATCCAATGTCACTGAAAGCAGTTGTGTGGCTGTGAGATGGACATCATCTTATACGGTAGGTCTTCAGACCCACCACCGGTCTTTGGGGTGTCTCTGACCCGCTCCGATGATGCGGGCCGGACCTGCGGCCCACCACCATGTCCATCATGCCTTTGGGGCTTCCCTCGGGCCAAGCGGGCAGGTCGTGTCTGACATGATGCCCAGGGTGGTGCCCACACCACCCGAAGAGCGGGTGGTAACACACGGAACGCAACAGAGAAGAACATGGGCGCGGCAACGTGGAGTTCAGCCTCCGCTTTAGAGGATGTCATGGTCTTTTGCAGGGCTCATGTTTCACTTCCACCATGATTCTTTCAGGGCCAGTGAACACCATGCCAGTGAAGTCACGTTCAGTTGACTCAAAGGACAACCAGGCCAAACCGTGGGATCGATCGGATCAGTATGGATCAGTGTGAGATGCTGCTGTACAATATCGTGCAGTAACTGCTATAGATTTATACCCAAGCACTTCATGTATGGCACATATTTACATAATACCCCGGGTCAACCACACCAACTGATGGGTAAATATGCCAGTCCCAAACAGGTCGTGTCTGGGATAAACTTGAGCTCATGCCCCATTTCCACGAACCCTACGGCCTGTTCTGGATCCGAGTCGACCCGCTTCCAGTTCAACTCCCGACTCTGAAAACTGGACACAAAAGCCTCGTAACGATCGACACAAAACAGGTAAGGCCCTTCCATTTGTATGCTAAAACTATGTATGCGAAAGGCTTTTCAGTTATAACATGTTTCAGCTAAGGCTTTGCTATAACTGAAAATACCAGCAAAACGATGTATATAATGCTAAAATCAGGTGAACCAAAACTCCCAGGTGCAAGCCTCTATTCAACTCATCAGCCCGTCCCCGGTTGCTTGGGAAGGCATGGCCAAAAAGCTTATGCCCGACACATGACCTGAAAGAGCTATAGTGAAAACGTTGTCTGGCACGCCCGAACTTCGTGAGGGTGATGAGCCGTGATGAGCTATAACACACAGCATGAAAGAACACACAAACGTCAAAGCGGTCGGACCTGGTCCGATCGATCCTGGTCCTCCCTCAGAGCATCGAATCGAGGACTAAAGCCCGAGGTTTGGTGGTTTGGCTCGGGACTAGGTCCGCCCCGGTCCTACAGGGTCCAAGCATGTCCAAAGCCTCTTAGGGCTCTGAGTCTCTTTCCAGCTCCGATCTCTTTCCAGTCCACCGGCCAGGCTTCCCAGACCGGCGCACGTCGCCGGGCCATGGCGGCCTCCGGTCAGCGCGGTCCGCGCGTTCGGCGCGACGGGGCGATCGACCGGTGTCGATCAAAGGCCCCCCCAAAGAGTCGAATGACATGAGTCGAATGACACGGTTCCTTCGTTTTTTTTGTTGTTCTCGGTTCGTTCCAGGAGCTCGGCCTTTTTTGGTATTGTTCTATTTACAAATAACGGTATACATATAAACATGTTGTTCTAGAGGATTCTTCTATAGAGCGTCTTTTGAAGGAGTCAGTCTGAGTCTTAATAGTGAGACCCAGTTCGGCTCCTTTGGGCCAGGGAGAGTACACACCCATCTATGGGCAGTTGGGGATCTAACCTTCCCAGCATACACGCTCTGGTGATCCGTTCTAACCTTCACATGGCTGCAGGCTGGCGGATGCTGTCTATCGGCTGCAAAAAATCCCCCCAAAGCAACCTCTGGAAGGAATCCATCGTGGGAAGATCCCGGCAAAATCCGCCGCAATATCCACCGCTGAAGTTGTTCATTCGATTTGAAGATCATGAAACAAGAGCACAATTTGTGTTTAATGAACAGGTTTCACAATGCCAAATGGCTGAGGCTGATTCATCAGGAGTTATACAGTTTATGACATGATGTTTTTCATGCCCATCCGGGATCCAGTTGTACCTTCTCAGAAGGCACGACTGGACCCTGAACACCTACATGTCTCAGTGTCTCCTTCTTCACTTCCTGAGGTTCGGTACGACTGGATCCCGGTCCGGGCTGGTTTCCAATTTCCGGTGAAGCTCCGGCCGTTTCGTAGGCCTTCAAGTCGCCCAGCCGGATGGTGCCACGCTCATCCTCAACGTCGGAGTGTCCGACCGGACTGCCGATCAATCGGGGTGGTGGTGCCAGGGGGGTGAGTAGGCATGGCAGTCCCAGACGGCTCGTGTCTGGGCGATTTCGATGATGATTGGAGGGGCACGGATGAGGATGTCGGATCCTGAGATGACTGACTGGAGCAGTCTCATCGGATTCTCCAGAGGTTCATGGGAGAATCTTCCTGAGATGACAACTGGGGATCTTGGATGACTGGAGGGGCCCTGCCCTGATCCCCCAAATGAGGTGCCCCTTCCTATAGTTATGATGCCGCCCTTCTGCGGATTCGTGAAGAAAGGTGAGCTGCTTGTCTGGGCCAAATTAACACTGCAGGTTCTGTAGATTTGACTATATAAAAAGTCCACCAACCAAGGTCTGCTCAACGCTGGAGTGTTGCATGGTGTTGAGCCCAAATCCCCTGGCGAAGACAAATTAAAGCCTGCAAATGCATGCAACATCTACTCATGGTTTCCAGGTGGATTCCATCAAAATCATCGCCTAGGTTTAGCTACCCCAAGAAAATGGTCTAAGAGTTCCCTTTTGAAGCATCATTCAATGACACAACGAAATGGTGTTGCAAATCGGGTGCGGTTCAATTCCACCGAATGTGTCATGCAAAACGTTGGAAATCCTTACATAGTTTTGCATGTTTCTTAATTCTATAGATTGCTTTAACTTGCGCCTTTCTCAAAAACGGAATGGTCACCGTCATCGTTCGCTGCCTTCCTTCACCACCTTTCTTATTGGGCTTGTTGCACCTTGTTACCACCCTCACCACCACCACGGATGACGTGAGGCGCTGGCCGAATCGATTTGAAGAAACAGCTCACCTCAGTTCGCGGCGGAGTTCGGGCCCCAAACCCAAGGAACGGTGTTCCAAAGGGTGAAGTAGAGAGGTTTTGGGGGTTCCTACTGAAGGACCATGGGATACTGCCCTAGGGCTCCTGTCCCATATCCTCAGGTTCGGTGGTTAGACCCCCCTGGCACCCACCCCAACCACCTTCGAAACGGAGGTGGTTGGAGCCCTAGGGCTGATACATACTGATACCATCTGGATAAAAGACCGGTACTAAGACTGGTGGGATTAGTCCTTGGAAAAAAGTACTTTGAAAGGTTTCATCCAACCACCATCGAACTCATAAGAAACCCACCATGCAGGTATCAAGAAATCCAATCCATCACCTGAAGTCTTACTTGATAGAATGAGAATCATACTATACGTACTATCAAAATCTATCAGATCAGCTTTGTTGACTTGCTGTTTCGAGAAAATTACACAACAGGACAACTGGATGATGTTGAGAGACTCTTGGGCTTGCAAAATCTACATCGAAGCTCAATCCCACCAGCTCCGTACCAGCACTTCGAAAGGGGGCTACAGAGGTGATGCTTTTCCGTGGACATCATTCCCGAACTATTCCCCTGATCAATGATCAACCCCTGCAAAACTATTATTGGCAAGCCAAACTATTGGCAAGCCCTCCTTCATTAAACAAAGGAACCACGTGTGGATTTCGAGGTATTTCGAGTGTTGTGGAATTCCAGTGAGGGTGTCACATGTGACCGCAAAAAAAAACCTTTCTTGGTCCAGCTCGCTCGCTCCCCAAAAAGCAGCGAGAAACAGTTTGGTGTCGCTTTGACGATCCAAGTGGCGCATCTCTTTGGCCTCCTCGTTGCCCAGCTCTTGCGCCAAGAGCTGCCTCAGGGACCCGAACCCCTCGACGTGGCCGGCGTTTTGGGCTGAGCTCAGCTGATTGCAGGTGCGGGGCGGCTCTGGCCTAGGCCCAAAGCATTTTGTGTGGAAGCTCTGAACAAACAGGTCTCTCTCCACTGTTTTTTCTCAGGCTCTTGGATGGCCCTTGGCTACTGGAAGTGCAAATCCTTTCAACTACAAGCGCAGTGGGTTCAGAGTAGATGTCACAATCCCCCAAAGGCGGTTTGTATATGTTTGTATGGACCCCTTGCAAAGGACATCTTGGGGTGCCAGTGCCATCTACTCTGAAACATTCTGAAACCACTGTACATCTTTGGTTGAATATGGTGAACATGAAGAATTGATCAGAATTGCATAGAATTGCCAAGACCTGACTGAACCCCAAGACCTGATTTCACCAAGGCCACTAAGGCCGCCCGAAAAGGCCCCCTTGAAGGGCCAGGCCGACAAAGGCCCTGGCAACAACAGGCGGTGCAGCTTGGACTGCTGCATGTACCTGCCGCTTTCGCTGAGGACAGTTCGGTAGTAAAACAAAAAGACCAAGCAGCCGACCGGCGACAAGGGGTGAGCAGAAAAACTCCACCAAGAATGGAGGCTCGTGAGCATTTCGCATCACACAAAAAGAGTTGGTTGAGTCAGAATCACAAATACACCAGCACCCTCCAACAGATCACCAGCGAAAAAACCTGCCGATGCCCAAGAGACGCCGAGTCCCGGGTGGCAACAGGAGTAGGCCCTGCGTGGCCGTGCTTAAAACGCCGCGCGCCAAAACTGGAATAAAAATCATGTTTGTAAATTGATCCAGGAGTTCCAAAGGGTCAACCACTCACTTGCGACGACACTGACCACTAGTTTTTTTACATCACTTGCAACGACAACAGCATCACCAGCATCATGGGTGGGGTGGGGGGTTGGGGGGTGGGGTGGGCGGGGATCTAGTGGAATACCACACCTACATCCTGGGGGGTGGGTGGGGCCATCAGCACGACACTCAAGCACAAAACAAACCAACAACTTCTCACACTCACCTGCATCCTGGGGGCTGGGGCCATCACCGCGACACTCAAGTACAAACAAACAAACAAACGAACGAACGAACGAACAAACAACCCATACACTCACCTGCATCCTGGGGGGTGGGGGTGGAACCATCACCACGACACTCAACCACAAACAAACAAACAAACAAGCAAGCAAACAAACAACTAACAGTTCACCTACATCCTGGGGGTGGGGGGGCCATCAGCACGACACTCAAGCACAAAACAAAACGGGGCCATTGGGATGAATACGACACTGCCGCTGTCAATCTTACTTTGCAAGAACTTGGCACTACTTGACTTGGACAAATCCAGCACTATACACGGTCCTACTCGGTTCTTACACTTCTTATGGTCTATACCTACTGCGGAAAATCCATGCAACTTCAGACACTTTGACAACTTGCACGACCCTGCAAACAACTCAAACGTTTGCGGCACTTCACCACTCACATTTTCACTTTGTCTGTTGGGGTCGCGCCCTCTGGCGAAAAAGCTTTCTGTACATTCGACGCTGCATCCTGGGGGTTGGGGATCAACACTACACTGAGCCGCAAACAAAGAAACCAGCAATTATGCTCACCTACATCCTGGGGGGTGGGGGGTGAGGCCTTTTTCATGCAATAGCCAGCTTCTTCGAACATCTCCCGAAAGTTTGTAGTGTATGAGAGCTCCTAAGGACTAGACTAGGTTTTGGGCCCAGAGCAAGAGAGGATATTGAATCATGAGGTACAAAGTCATGAGATGGCTTCTGGCAACGCAGAAGGGATCGACAAACCTTAGAATCCACTAAAATATACCGTGTGGTAATCCATTCCTCATGTGGCATGCAGCGTACTCAATCACCCTACAATAGGAAATGGCAATGGGTCAAAACTTTAGTCGCCTGCCAGGGCCGCTTGGGCCTGACGACTTTTGTTAATGGGTCGTTGTTTGGCATGTAAGCTTCTTTGCAATTCTGAACAGTCCTACTGTCCAAGTAACATTAATTTCAACATCAATGTGAAGCGCGTGCTTTTGGTTCATGTGTGCCGAGCTGCTTCTTCCACATTTTGGTGCTTGGATGTTCTCTCTACTCTTGTGGCCATCCCTTCTTGCAGCGATTTCTCTATCCTTGACTCTGCTAGGCACGTTGCCACGGCCGTGAGGCAGGGTGGCAGGGCGATAGCAGAAGATATTTCCAGAGGCATGCTCGATCTTATTTCTAAAGTTTGGGGGGCACCATACTTATGGATACGCAGTGCTAGTTCCATCCCCAACTATGCTCAACTCCCAGCTCGTGGTGATGGCCCCACCCTCGAGTGTGTAAGATATGCTTTGCTCTTGTGCTGATGGCCCCACCCCCACCCTCCAGGATGCAGGTGGGTGTATGGGTTGTTTGTTTGTTTTTGTACTTGAATGTCGTGGTGGTGAACATCACTATTCTGGAATCAACTCAAGAATGTTCATGGCAATGGAATGGCACACATGTCCCAAGGGTTGTTTACTTGCTTGTCCTGGGCTATAGCGCTGCCCTTGAGCAGCAGCGGGGCTCGAAACCCTGTTGTGGACATCTACATTACCTGGCAGCTGCCTCCCTAGCAAGTCTTGGAGGAGCTGCCTGTGAAACAACTCTTTGTAGCCACACCCTGGCAGTTGCACAGTGCTATATGCCCCTAATGGTGCCACTGGCAAGCACAGGGGCAGCCCATTCCTATCAACCACTGGCACCCAGTCACTCCTGCATGCTAGCAGGTCTTCAGAAGATCCAACAGAGGTCCAGTGGCCCACCACAGGCTCCTCCACCAGCTTCCAAGCCCTCATTGCCACCACCACCTTTTTCTCCCTGGCTTGGATAGGTTGAGCCAATCTACAGAGACCAGGGCAGAATCGAACCCATGCTTCTGGACAAGGGCGCTGTGTAATGCTCAGCTCACAAGTCCATGTGAGCTGTGCTCAAAACGTGTGGCATCTGCCTATGTCGTAAGACTTTCCTTACGCAGCAGCTTACGCCTGGCTTACGCCACCACAATGGCAGCTTACGCGCACACTTTGCACACAAAGGGGCTTACGCAACACTTACGCGAACACAATCTTGCACCCGGCCACAGCGCCAGCTTACGCGCCATCTGTTTTCCAAGCAAAGTACAGCACACAGCAGGTTTGTTACGTCCGCGGCTGTAGGGCCGTGAGCAGCCAGGATTTCGTAGATGGTCTGGACAATGCTTTGCCTTTGGCACCATTGCAAGTCAGAAAAAGCCTGCTTTTTAGGAGGCATCATGGGCCACCGTCTACAAAAGAGAGGGGGGCTTACGCGCAGCTTACGCGAAGCTTACGCGCGCCTTACGCGTATTACCGACACCAAAACCGATAACTGCATGGTGACATAGTGTGTCTGACAACTGCTGGTAGACTTTATGGCTATGGGAGTTGTTTGTATGGCTATAGGAGTAAATGTTTGCATGTGTTGACCAATAAAATCTCTGTCCTGATGCCTATGTTCTGTATATAAATGACTACAGGAACCACAAGAACCCTTCTTTCTGTGGAGCCAATCACCTTCGACCATACCAATTGCCAAGAAAAAGATCCAATGCAAGGCTTCATCAACAAAGGTCTCCATAGAATTTCCAAACATTTCAAGAATACATGTGACATGTACGTTAAATTTCGACTTTCTTACGCGGCTTACGCAAGTTTCATCTCACAAAAAACGCTTACGCAACCTTACGCACATCAGAGTTTTGCTTACGCGAAGGATTCATATGACAAGCCCACTACTAAACATGAACAGGGAGGTTCTTAGCGCGGCTCATGTGCAGAATATGGAAAACCGGGTTGTTCTTCTTGGTGGATTGGCACCAACAAGCACCAAACTCACGAGGAAACTCGGAAACAGGAGGCCTTCAGCCCGGAACAAGCTGGACCCGTTGACGACGATGCTGCTTTGGCCTCGCGACTTGCGGTTTTGTGAACTGGGATAAACACGTTCCACCTTGCCACCTGGCTTATCTTTCCTGATTATGTTTCACGGACATGGAACTGTCCTTGTCCGTGTGTGTGTGTGTGATAGCACATAACATCTTCACTAATTGGCACAAGCTCCACAGGCCCCCCGCCATTATTGGGCCTGCGTGCGGCTCGGCTTCTTTGGTTTCATAGAAGCTGCAGGACCTGGAAGTCGGGCTGGGAAGTTCGAATAATAGGTGGTATGATTCGCGGGTTTGATTCGAGGGTAGGCATGTTCCCCAAACAGTACGCGTGGACTTAGTTGCGGTAGGTGTCAAGGAGGTGTGCTTAGATCGCTGGGGCGCGCGCTTACGGGAAATTCGTATTTACAGTACATCCATGCGTCTCGAAATCGTCGACGCGCATTTCGACTGCGCAGGCTCGCGAAATCTGGGGGCCCGCGGCGGGTGCCTTTAGCGACTACGCTCTCGTTGCGGCGCCGTGCGCATTCTCGCACCTGGTGGTTGCTTTTCGTGGCACGTGCAAGGGAAACCTCGTGCTTTGGTGGTCCAGAGCGGTTTCACGTCGAGATATGCAGACTTTGTGGCAGGCGCAGCACTTTAAATGGCGGTGATCTTCGAGGCGCTCTGATTGTGACAGGTGCAGTGAATCGTGACTTTTGGACATGTGGCTCGCTTGCAGATTTCGTGGCAGGCGCAGCACTTTGTGAACCTCGAAGTGCAGA